CCAAAGATATTTGCCTTGCTCATTATTGGCATCTGAGGAGCTTTTCTTATCCAAGGGTCTCCCAAAGCAGTTCACCTGGGCCACGTCACCATCCCCATCATATGTTGAAATTCCCATTGCATTTTCAAAGTGGCCATTCCCACAAATAACTGGAAGCACCCCAGGGACAGTTCTGGAACCTACAATGCAAAGAACTTCAGAAGTGTTTTGTTTCTTTACTTAAAATATGGGAACCTGTTGAGATGGGGAAAATCACCAGATATAGAAACTCCCTTCAACAAACAACCCCAGCTTTCTTTTCAGATATTTGTTAGAATGCTTTTTCTAACACCCTGAAAAAGGCCAGGCCAAAAAGATTTTATAAATGTTTTCTGATGGTGGTGAAATTATCCTTAACTATTGTTAACTTAAGTAAAAATGTTTATGGGTAAGGTCTTGCATATTAGTCATTCGTTGAACAAGTGTTTATCGAATACCTGCTATGTACCCAGCCCTGAGCTATGTCTGGGAAAACAATAATGAAGAATTAAGACACAGCTTTACTTTAATATCTTTGCTCCATTTAATTTCTTATATTGATATAATTCACATATTCTAGAGGGGAAAAAAGAAAAAAAAAACACTTATAAACAGGCACATTTTTTAAACTGCCAGTTATAACAAGTGTAATAAAAACCAAGATGGAGATTAACAGAAGGAAATTTGGGACATTTTTAATCATCACCAAAGCAGAAAATGCATAATATAGGCCAGTGATGGCGAACCTAAGACACGTGTGTCAGAGGTGACACGCGAACTCATTTTTTTGGTTGATTTTTCTTTGTTAAATGGCATTTAAATATATAAAATAAATATCAAAAATATAAATCTTTGTTTTACTATGGTTGCAAATATCAAAAAATTTCTATATGTGACACGGCACCAGAGTTAAGTTAGGGTTTTTCAAAATGCTGACACGCCGAGCTCAAAAGGTTCGCCATCATTGATTTGGCCATAGTTTTTACAAGAGCATTTGGTGTATTTCTTTGTTTTGCTGTTGATATTAGCAAAGTATAAATTACCACAGGGAAGTATTGAATTTGGGTTGAAGAACCCAGTGCCATTTGGTCTTCTAATATAACAGGTGACTGATAAGCTGTAATCATATGTTTAATTAAATGTCCTGCTGTGGGCATCAGAAGTTATCAGAGGATATTAAAGTAATGTGAACAGGAAAGCTGTTCGCTAATTATTTTTACTAAACATAAGCCACGGATATGACAGGGACAAGGCATGATGCTGGCAATGAAAAGAAGGAATACAGGGCAAAATTGGGAACGTTTGGTTTTTATAATAGAGGGAGTAATAGCTCATTCTGGACTCCCCATTTTAAGGGTCACTGACAAATAGGAGCATGGCTGTCATTAGCTGACTGGGTGCACTCACTCGCTTCATTCATATCTAGGATGAAGCAGTCATGAGACGAAGAGCCTTGTCTGGCTCATTCACAGCTGCAGTCTGGGGCCTTGCTCTTGACAGAACACACTCTACGCCTTCACAATAAATACGTTTGGGGTGAAGTCAATGAAATGTCTGCAGCAACTGTGACCCACCATACATCCTTTTCACCCCTCCACAGGACCTACCTCCCCTCAGACTGGACAGTCAATTTCCTCCTCCTTTCCCAATCTGCTCTCAGGAAAGACTCTCCTCCCGACTGGAAACATGGGTCACAATGACTGGCGCCTCTCCTCTCCCTGAAGAACATATCCATCTATCTCTTGTTAAAGAAATGTCAAGAAGTAAGAGGCTGGAGAGTAGCTGGGGTATTGACTGTGAATAGGAGTCAGGTGGCCCCCTTCACCTCCCTGCACCACAGGCCTGGGTTTTGTAACCTGGGAGTAACTGTGCAAAAGATCCGGGGGAGTATCTGTTCCATTCCTGTCACCTGACAAATGAGGAAACTGAGGCCCACAGCAGGAAAACAACTCACAGCTGGTCACTGAGGAACCAGATGAGATCCCAGCTTGGTCTGAACAAGTGGAAAAAACACACAAAGCCTGAAGTGACTGCCCTTCCCACCCCCAGTGCTGCCAAATTCTGGCTGCTTCACCTCGACCAACTTACTGAATTCATCAGTAAGCCTTACTTTTCTCATCTGGACAGTGGAAAAATAGTTTCCTCACCTCTTCTTGGCGATGTTAGTGAATGGAGCAATTCATGGCTATGCTCAGAGCAGTCTCTGATATTAAATAAAAGGTAGTCACTTTTATTGTCACTGTTAGTATTTTTAGTACAACCACGGACCCCAATCCTCCCGATGCTTAAACTCTAATCTGGTCCTGGCTCCCCAGGCCAGTGTAATCTCTCCCTCCTCTAACGCTCTTGGCTGCCAGCATCCTGAACTGTAACACATGGAAAGGCAGTTGTCAGAAAAAAGCTTGAACAGGCTGAGACAGCAGAGGCAAGCCAGCCCAGGAAAGAATCCCAGTTTTCAAATCTCATTAGGTTCATGGTTTTCTTTTTTTAAGTCTAGTGATTTTCAAACTGTGTCTCTAGAGCCCAGAGGTCAGGATGGGGAGAAGTTCAGTGCGCAGACTCCTGGCCACATGCACTGCTTCACAAAGCTCTCAGCTTCCAGCTGGTTTATATATTTGGGCTCCAAGTGAGAATGCATTCAAAGACACAGTCCTACAGCTAATGCAGTTTGAAAACCCTAACACACTTGTCTATGATCTTTATGATCATTTTTCTGCTTTTAAAAAATCTATGAATTATATATTTTAATTACTCCTTAAGCATTCATTTATTTACCTCCTCCTCCCCCCCTACCCTTCCCATCCCCCCTGCAAACAACCGGTTTAGTGGCAAGGGGAGAAAAAACAGAACGTGCATCTCCTGACTCCTAGTCCAGTGCTCATTTCAATATATAAATATAGCCTCCAATATATCACTACATATTTCGGGGGGGGGGGGGCAGAGTGAAGGAAGACACAATTCCTTTCATCCCAGTAATAAATTGTCAGGACCTTACCAGTTATCACCAGTTTTCTATTCTGCATCTGAAAAAGGGTTAAAAAATCTCTACTCTAGGAAATATAGCAAGCCAGGAGGTGGTCAGACACTTAGGAGCCAATCACATGTGCTCTACCATCTTCAATAAAGACTGGCTCACAAAATTTTAATATCCAAGTCCTCCTGGCCATTCAGTCCTTAGCTCCTTGCAGGAGCCAGAAGCTGAAAAGGCTAAGCAGGCAAATTCAATGTCGAGCTTAATGGCTAAAGGATTGGACAAAGCTGGCAAATGGAAGCCTTTTGGTGCCTCTTTGAAGGCAGAGTAGTTATGAATGTGAAAGGACTGCTGAGGCTCCAGCACGCCCTACTTCCCTGGCTTTGCTTTCTTGTTCCTCATTCATGACCCCATGCTCAGACCACCAGATGTTAGGCCTTAGCCAGATGGACTAATTTTCTTTTTAAATCTATTTTTGGAAAAATAATTTTTCCCCTGGGTAGAGATGAGTGGTCTCCAAAGGGTTTCATTTCCTTTCTGAGTCAGGTTCAGCCCCGTGAGACTTGGCTTTCGATTTCTGCAGCCTCACGGCTCCCTGAATGCTCAGAGGTCCCCTGGTGATGCCCCCTCTACTTCAAGAGCCCCCCAAAATAAGCCAAGTGACTACAGATAAGTTTTTGGTACTTTCCAAAATTAAACTATTTCCCTTGGTAAATTTCCACCAAATGAGCTCATTAATCTGAAAACAGGATGTGGCACATGAAAAGAGTGAGGTCAGGTTGCCTGTTCACTTACACTGGCTTGGGGCAGAGAGGAAGGGGTGGGTGGGAGAGAAGTGGGACCAGCGAATGGCCTTTAGAGATCCCAAATCCTTCATGAAGTGGGCTAAGAATGAATTTTTAAATCAGAGACTCAAAACTCTGAATCCTTCTTTTCTCTTGGCTTTCGATTTATGCAGCCTCACAGCTGGGGCCACCTCTGGTCACCCTCCCACAGATTGCCTATGATGGAGGTCCCTGAGGTCCTCTGCTTGTCCAGAGCAGGTGTCTGCCCTCCAGGGAGGACCCAGAAGCCCTCCTTTCCCCATCAGAAGCTGGAAGAAGCTCTACCCTGGATGGGAGGCTTACATACTTCCCAGATTTAAACTCAATCTCTCTCTCTCTCTCTCTCTCTCTCTCTCTCTCTCTCTCTCTCTCTCTCACACACACACACACACACACACACACACACACACTCACACACTCACACAACCAAAAAACTAAAACACAGTTCGCAACTCCATTTGAGTGTCAAGACAAAAAAAATGGGACCCTAATATATAAAGAGAATGTAATGGGTGCCTGTGAGTAAAATAAAACAAAGCCAACAAAATAGGCAGCCTCACTTCTCCTTCAGCTGACAGTCCTGCAGACAGACCTTGGAGGTCTGATGGAGAAGGAGCTTTGTCAAATTCTCAAAAATATAGGTTTGTCTCTTATAAACAAAAATTCTATCCCAATACTAAGTTCCGTAACTATTTTGATTGATACACACAGCTTCATAGAGAATGAGTGACTGTGTGTGTTTAGACTTCAGACAGAAACAGAAATGGTTCCTGAAGACGCCCAGTTTTGTAAAGCATCCTGCTTCCAACCTCTTCGTACCAGCCTTGCTGACTGTACCAACCCAATAGGCCTGGACGAGCCTGGCACTGTGCTAGGCTCTTTGCAGGAACCCAAGAGGGCAAGACTCGGTTCTGCTCAGCCCATCTCCAGGCGGGGTTTCGGGTGGGCAGGCAGGGCGTGGGGGTCAAGCCCCAGGCCCGTCTGGACTCGTTTATTCTGTGAACACTGAACTGAGCCCGGAGCACGGAGAGGGGAGGAGGGGCGCGGGGGCCTGCCAGTCCCCACTGGGAGAACAGGGCGACGCAGTAGACCCCCTCCCGGGCCTCAGTTTCCCGTTCGGGGAGCGCTCGCCCCGCCCCCGGGAGCCGGGTCCGGCTGCGGAGACCCGCCCCGGCCACCCCGGCTTCCGCCTCCCGGCCACGTCCGCGCGGCCCTACCGGAAGCGTGCGCCGGCCGCGGGAGGCGGCGGCTGCGGCGGAGGCGCCGAGGTTGGTTGCACTTCACCCCGCCCCACCACCACTCGCCCTGGGACTGCGGGCGGCGCCGAACCCCGCCCCGGCCCCCCGCGCTCCCCGCCCCGGGCGGCCCAGGTCCCGCTAGCTCGGGCGGGGCTCCCCCGCGCGGGCCTCCCCACGCGCGGCCGGGACCCGCTGCCCCAGCCCTTCCTGCGGGCTCCCGGGCACCCCTGGGGTTCGCTCATCCTTGATAGTCGTGGGCTCTGCTCTGCTGCGAGCTCACCTGGAGAGGTGGCGGTGGCGAGATGACAGTCACCTGCCCGGGGGTTGGGGAGCGAACGGAGCCGGGGACACATAGGCTCCGGGGGTTGCGGGACGCGATGGACTCGCAAAGGCGGGTGTAGCCCCATCCTGGGGACAGCCTGTGGAGACTCCAAGGGGAGGTGGAGTCTGGTCCAGGTGGGCCCCGAAAGACAAGTTGGAAGACTGGGGAGATGGGGGTACGCGGCGCAGAGAGACCTCGCATGTGAGGATCTCTCGGTAGAGACATGGAGATGAATCGATGGAGGTTCGGAAAGGAAGAGAATTCTAAGGGAGGAGCCGAGGCATGTCAGGTGCTGGCCAGAAGCCTGGTTGTATGACAACCGGGGCAGGCCCAGGGCGCTTGGCGACTTGGACATTGTGAACCTGGAGGAGATGGTTCCATGGAGATGCCAGTGAGACAGTGGAGCACCTGTGTGGGCAACCTTTTCCAGTTCTGTCAAAGCGAGGAGAGTGGATGCAGGAGAGAATTTGGGATGAGGGCGAAGAGCGTTTCAAAGCACTGTGTGTGGTGAGAGCACAGACTCTGGGTGCAGAAGTCCCCATTCACTCTCTCCCAGACCTTGGGCACGTCACTTACCCTCTTTGTGCCTTCATCTGTAAGATGGAGGTAATGACAATACCTGCCTCATAGGGTTCGTGTGAAGATGAGATGAGATGGTGCCTGTAAAAGTACTTCACACAGCACTAAAAAGTAGTACTTAATATTTTTCGCTCTTATTATTAGAGCACCTGACGCATAGTTTGATGCTGATAGGAAGGAGCTGGTAAGAGAGGGAGGCATTGAAGACAGAGGGGAGAGAAAAGGGACGAGGCAGAAAGGGACCCAGATCTTGGATGGGAGAGAAGTCTTGGGTGCCTGTCTCTGTCAAACCAAGGGAAGGAGGAGACAGGTGGGGATGCAGGGAAGTTTGCGGGTTTGTGGTAGGCAGTTAAGGGGGTGTCTTTCTGGTAGTCTTGTCTGACGTAGGCCTCAATGTCTTTTGCTGAGAGGACCAGGCCAGGGCTGGCCCAGGGGAGGGTGGAGGTCCTAGTATGCCATGCCCTCTTTACCAGCAGCTTGGTAGCCCCAGTTTTGCCCCAGGGAAAGTGGGCAGTTCTATTTATCTCGGGTCAGAGGACAACATCTGACCTGCCTTGCCCACTTGTGAGGCTCAAATAAAGTTGATGGATGTGTAAACACTATATATAAGCATCACTTACCATTTTAATCCTCTCCCCTGATCGTGAGGAGCTGGGGAGGGGGGGATGTTGCGGGGGGGAGGCTGTGACCATCATTGGGAGACAGTGTCAAAACCTTTTGAGCACCTCAGTTGGGCTATGCATCATGCATACTTTCACCTATGATCTCATTTAGTCACAACAGTCAGGTGAAGTTGGTATTAATATTATCCCCACTTTACAGATGCAGAAACTGAGGTTAAAGACCTTGTCCCAGGACACACAGCTCGTAAATAGTAGACTTAAGATCTAAGCTCAGAGTTATTAGACCTCAAAGCTCATGATTTGGAACCATTATAAAAAATTTGCGAAGTCCCTAGTAGCAGCCCAACAGGATAGAAAGATGTGAAGGAAGCCTCTTTTCCATTTGTTAGGTGAGAAAACAGGGTGGATACTCTGGCCTCCATCCTCGACTCTGTAGACTCCCCCACTCAGCCTTGCTGTCATCTCTCTTGTATGGATGAAGGAACACATTGCGTGTGGTCCCACACACCTGCTGCGAATCTTGCTCCACCACCGGGGGCTGTGTGACTTCGGACCAGTCATCTTGCTTCTCTGTGCCTACACGTGGCCACAGAATTCCCAGCTGGTTGCTTTGAGGAATAGGAAGGAAAATGTTGCCCTGCCCACAGTAGATGCGCCAGGAGCCATAGTTCCCACACAACAGTGGATCTGCATCATACTTGGCCGCTGAGACCAACCCCCTGTGGCCTTGTATTTATTTAGAGCTTTGTTCTCAGGGCCGGGAAGTGGTAGTGCCTGACCGGGGTATGTGGCCACCTATGACTTCCTGCGTGGGGCCCTGAGGAGCGCCCTGAGCAGTGTATGGCTCTGAAGCCTTGGACTTGAAAGGAGGGCAGGGCCCTGTGTTGTCATCGCGACTGGTGAGGAGTGCCAGGGGCAGGGCCATCAGAAGCCTCCTGCTACCTCTGGCTGCCTTGTCCCTAAGGTTCCAGAATCTCAGCGCTTAGAGGAACCTTGAAGACCACCTGTTGCAACTCCTTTCTTTACAGACGGGGTAACTGAGACCCACTGTGAGGAAGTGACTTTTGCCTGTGACACTGGAGAGGGCAGAGATTGAGCGCCTGGAACTTGCATGTTTGGACCTGCCACCAGGACCTAGGGATTTCCACCAGGGCAGTGAGCACCCCCACCCAGAATTCCAGGCTTCTGGGAGGTCTCAGGGAACACAGACAAGTCACCAGCTGTGGCTCTTTGCCCATGTCCCCTGGGGAAGACGGGGAGGAAGCGAGCGGCAGGCTGAGGTTCTTTGATGGGGGAACTCTGACTGTGGTTCCTGAAAGTGTGTGGCATGGTTGTGTTTTCTCTCTGACTCGTTCTCTTGCTCTCTGTCACTCTAAAGAATGACTGGGCACTCCTAGAGCCTTCAGCCAGCATCCAGGGGGTTTTTTCACCACAGAGGGTAATTCCTGCCCCATCCCTGTTGTGATTCAGCTGTGACGTTGAACCACACAAGTCAGCGAGAAGATAAAGTCATCAGACTCCTGCTCACCAGAGAGGGTGGCCCACGCCAGAACTCACTTCTCTCAGCACAGACTCCACGGGCTGGTTCCCTCCCCAGAGGAGCTTAGTCGGGCTCCTGGCCAGCCTGGGAGCCCGGGATGGCCTCTGGCTCAGCCAGCAGCCCCCGCCCAGCCCCTGATGAGAACGAGTTTCCCTTTGGGTGCCCTCCCACCGTCTGCCAGGACCCACCAGAGCCCAGGGCCCTCTGCTGCACCGCCTGTCTCTCTGAGAACTTGAGGTGAGGGGTCAGAGGAGCAAAGAGTGGGTGGGAAGAAGGTGCCAGGGAGGGACCCCTGATGGGAGACAAGGGTGAGAGGAGCCAGTGGCTTTGAGCAGGTGACTTCACCTCTCTGGGCCTCAGTTTCCACACCCTCTCCTTGTAGTCCCTGACACTGTTGCTTCTGATCTTGATGGAAGAAGTAGCCACAGACAGATGTCAGCTGCCACAGCTGAAGACTGTCCAGGGTGGGGGAGAGCCTCAGGCCCAGCTGGGCTCCTTACTTACTGTGAGGCTGGGTGTTTCATGCCTCAAAGCCTCAGCTTCCTTGTCTGTAAAATTCCTGTAAAGCTACTTTCTACTTCCCAGGATTAAGAGGCACAATCAATAATATTCCAAAAAGTTTTTGTAATAATGAATATAAACTTTCTTAGTAAATGATGAACTGCTATACAAATATATCTCCTTCCACAATATCACTCATCATCTTGTATTGTTTGTTGAGAAACACTTTTAAAGGGAGCAAAGATATCTATATTTATATATGTATGTATATATAGATGATATATTTATATATAGGGGTGGGCAAATTGTAAACCTACTTTTGCCCACCCCTGTATGAATATATATAGTTGACTATATATTTATATATGAATATATACTTATAGAAATACATGTTTTACATATATAAAATATTTAAAATATCAGTAACTCAGATAGGTGTGACATCCATATGATCATCAGCATCCCACCAGTTTGAGCCTACTATGTGCCTCTTTCCTTGGGTCTTCAGAAGAGCTTTGGAAAGGTGGATACTGTTATTGTCCCATTTTACAGATGAGGGCAGTGAGGCGTAATGGAGAGAATAGATCAACTTGTCCTGGTTCAATTTCCTGGCAAAAGTGCTCTTTAACTGTCATACACCCTCAGCTTGACCTTTGTCTGGAGTTTTACAGCGTAAGAAGGTGGGAAAGCTGAATCAGTCTAGTTTGAGAAATTCAAATGCTTTGATGCAGAGAGAGGGAAGAGGTTGTGGCCATGGAAAGGCCAGGTTGTGGGGGTGGGTTGGTCAAAGCTTGGCTGGTTTTACCATTAAGCTGATTGTTGTGGGTTCATCTCAGGCTTTTGAACTGGGTCTCTTGGCTTCCCTCCCCATTATTCCAAAACCGGGCAGAGGTGGGGAAGGAACTGACTGGATGTCCAAGGGATCCAGGCAGAGCTTTGCTCTTGACTCTGCCTCCCCTTGGCCAATCCACATGTCCTCTGAGGTCTCACATTTAGGGCCTGACCGCTTGCTCTGACTGTGGATCAGAATTATTTGGGAGCTTTGTAAAAGCCCATAGGCCCATGTGTCATCCGGCCACCCGCTCCTGGTAGAGAACCTCAAGCGAGGTGCTCTCTGAGGCCCCTTCTTGTTCTAATCGGCCCTGGTCATCTGTAATTCCTAAGACAAAGAGACCTAAGCCAAACAGAAGAAGCTGAGAAGAGCAAATGTAGCCACACCTGAAGCCCTGGCTCAGGTGCATTTTGGAATTCAGAATTTTTTCAGATTTCAGAAAAGCAAGTCAGTGCATCACTGCGTAGTTCTTCCAGTGGGGTTGGGGCAGCACCTTATGATCAAGCCCATTAATGTTTCTGCAATGAAACATTAATATTCACACTAAGTGGGATAAGGGTTAGAATAGCCGCCAGTAACTTCAGGCAGGTCAGGTTTGGCTGCCAAAGAAGCTCACTGCAATCTATGGAAAGACACTGGGTGCCCAGTGCTTTGAGGTTTGGGAATGGTGGGTCTGGGATTGTGGACCTGCATGCTCACTGGTATCAGGCACCATGCTATCAGGTGCTATCAGGACAGAGGTTGGTGCCAGGGAATTGTGAATGCCGCACTCAGCCGGATTTGTTTGTGTGTGTCTCTAGGAACGGCGAGGATCGGGTCTGTCCCAAGTGCAGAGGAGACGATTCCCAATCTGTAAGCCCGGGGAGCCTTATGTCTCAGGAGAAGGTATGTTGACACAGCCAGGAAAGGGTATTTGTCCATTTTCTCCATCTGTTGAGGTTGAGGCCAAGTAGACAGCCATTCCCCAGTCCCAGCTGGCGCCCCCCTCTTTGTCTCGAGTTAGACTGAATTTGGTTTAAAAGCAGCAAGGGAACTGACAGTGCTCTGGTGAAGCAACTTGCCCTTGGCCACCTGGCTGATCTGTGACAGATTTGGGGTGAGAACAACAGTCTAGCCCAGGTGCCTGCAAACTACAGCCCGCAAGCCATATCCAGCATGCCACCTGTGTTTATACAGCCATAAGCTAAGAATGGTTTTTATAGTTTAAATAGTCAAAAAAAAATCAAAAGAAGAATGATATTTTGTGACACGTGTAAATGATATGAAATTCAAATTTCCATGTCCATAAATAAAGTTTTATTGGCACACAACCATACCCACTCATTTATGAATTGTGTGTGGCTGCTTTCACCCTGTGACAGCAGAGGTGACTAGTGCAACACAGGCTTCAAAGTTCAAAATATTTACTCTCTGGCCTTTTGCAGAAATAGTTTGCCAACTCTTGATCTAGACCAGGGGTGGGCAAACTTTTTGACTCGAGGGCCACAATGGGTTCTTAAACTGGACCGGAGGGCCAGAACAAAAGCATGGATGGAGTGTTTATGTGAACTAATATAAATTCAAAGTAAACATCATTACATAAAAGGGTACAGTCTTTTTTTTTTTTTTAGTTTTATTCATTTCAAATGGGCCGGATCCGGCCCGCGGGCCGTAGTTTGCCCACGGCTGATCTAGACAGTTCTTCTTGCCCTTGATTGCCCTCAGACAAGGCTAGGCCGTTCTCAGCTCCTCTCTGTGGTTCAGCCAAGCCAAGCCATGCTCCTAAGTATAGAGATGGCCTGGAGAGTGTGAGGGGCCAGAGACATTCTCAGGTCCCCCAGTTTAGAACCCCAGTCCTGGGTTGGAAGGACCCTCACTAGTCATCTGTTCGGCCTAGAGGTTCCCATGCTGACCAGAGCTGGTCCATTCCCACCAGTTCTGACAAAATGATAAAAATATGGAAATTGTAGTGGGGTTTTTATAAAATTAGATTCTTTCCACTTATAGAATCAACCTTTACTCTGAGATTATGCTCTTCCTATATATGTCTTTGTAGAAATGAAATGAGAGTGATAGTAAATGATAGAATTTTTGGTAAAGTCTTTACTTGGTAAAATAAAAAGATGGCAGTCTTTATGTTAATCTTCGAATTAAAAGGAAACTTGTATTGATTCATGAATCCAAAGCTGTGAGAATGTAAGAAGCACTGCTCTAAATCTAACTGCCTCTTCGTACACATGAGGCCCCGATACCCACTGGGGCATCTCAATGCAGAATTCCTGGGCGACCAGGGCCTCACTGCTCAGCCATCCTCACTGTCCTCACTGTGAGACAGGCCCCGGCTCCTTTCAGCCAAGGCTCCCCATCTTGCCTTGAACCGCAGCCCAGGAGCCTGATGTTCAGCGATGCTCAAGATGGTTCTATTCAGTTTGTGGCCAAGAAGAATCCTGTGCCTGTATCTCTGTCTGTAAAATGACGGCCATGTTTGCTCTGCAAGACCTTTCCAGGACCTGTGACATCAGGTACCTTCCCTCCCACCTGTAGGAACCCAAGGCAGGCATGCGAGTCTCCACACTTCCCTCCCTTCTCCTCTCCGAGCCCACAGTCAGAGGGTTAGGAGAATTTCCTGCCCTGCCCAGAGCTGGTTTTGAGGGCCCTCCCATCCCCTTCTCAGCAGCCCCGCCCTGTAGGCTCTCAAGGGAAAATCTTAGTAAGGATCCACTGCATTTTCCTAGAACTTTACAGTCTACAGAGCACTGCGAGCTTATAGGACAAACGGATCCATGGAATAACTTCCGGAGCCTCCCTGTTTGGGCATCTTGGTGCACTAACCATGAAAGGCATGAGCAGAGCCATAGCTCTGTGGCTGCTGTCCTCCCCTGCACAAGGAAGGGCAGGGCTGGAAGCTTCCTGAGGCCCCTGCCTGCTTGAATGCTCCAGGGCTATTGTTTTTAACTTGGTTTATTCTGACCTCTTAACAAAATTAATACACCGGCATTGTACAACTCTTAGATAATATAGAGAAGAGATGTATTCATATCTCTTAATTCAATGGCTGTAATTTATCCGTCTTTGTTAACGTGAAATCAGATGACAGTGGAAGTGCTGTGACTAAAGTGTAGTCTGGAACCCTGTCCTCTTAGTCAGCCCAGCTGCCCAGCCCCCAAGGGACTGGGGATTCCTAAGGGGCCCTGCAAAGCACAGTTTGAAACTTGCTGCCTTAAATCAAATGAAGTGACTCTAATGGTGGAATTACAGGCACTGTAACAGGCAACAGGGTAGGAGGGGGTACTGCCCACAACTGGGGGCAGGCAGGCCTCTGAGCAGCATGGTTCTCCCTCTGGGCTTAGCTCAGCTGGTCTCCAGTCCAACCCTTCCACTCACCTCCATTCCCCAGGTTTCCCCTCTCCCTGCTTCCCCCGCCTGAAGCCATCATCACTGCAACCCCAGTGGAAGGCTGAGGGGCAGCGGGGTTAGCCAGTGGTCTGACCACCACCACCACCCAAAGCCACCTAGTGGAAAGACTAGGGACTCCTCCAGCTCCTGACCCTGATGGGAACTTTGGGGGACTTTTGACCAAAGGAAAGCAGCTGATTATAAGTCAATACTTTGCATGCGTGGTCATTGGGAAGTTTGTCTGTGCATCTGGGGAAACCTGGGGAATGGAGGTGGGTGGAAGGGTTGGACCGGAGACAAGCTGAGCTAAGCCCAGAGGCACCCATTCTTGCAAACACTTTCCATGCCATCTGCTTATCACTTTGTCCTCATCCTCTGACTTCATTAGATTAATATCTCTCTAAGGAGTGCTTGCAGCCCTGGACCCATTAGGTAATATAAGAAGCAGATATTAAAGGATTACTATTGACCTAGTTAGAGACTTGGTTCTTGCCTGGAATGACCTTCCTGTAGAAGTGACAGTGAATAGGGGACGGCCGGTGGATGGAAAATAACATTTAATTCTCACTGTCTGAGCCGTGAATGGAGTGTTTTCTCTCGTTCTCTTCCCTCTGAAGCCACTCAAGGTCAAAAGCAAGCTGGCAACTGTTGCCAGTGGCTTACAATAATGCCTTAACTTATTCTAGAATCAGAAAATGAGAGGGGGGCAAGCTGTCTAGTGCGGTTTCTGTGCTGTACTGGATTCCTGCCAGGTGGCTTTATATCCTCCCGGTGATGGGGAGCTCATTACTCCAAGACATGACCTCTTCCACTCTGGGGGGGCTCTGACTGTTGCACAATTTTCCTCTTTGTTTGTAGTGACCTGAAGTCTGTCTCCCTTTAGGCCAACAGCCTCCTGTCCTCTGAGGCAGTCTGCATATGTGGAGAGGTGCTGGCCATGCACCCCTTGAGTCTGTCCTTGTCTCTGCATATGTGTCCTTTGAAGTGTGATGTGTAGAAATGAACCCCTGAACCCTTACACTGCTGAGCTTGGCGGTTTCATCTGTAACCTGTGTGAATATTGGTGATATTTCGAGGATCCATGAGGAGGTGTGCCTGGGCTAATGTCATGGAGCAAGAGGGAAACAAAGCCAGGTTCCGACTCCTGCTTCCTAGACTGGTGGCATCTTCCCATCTGCTGCCTCCGTGGCAGACCACCCTAAATGTGTTAGGCAGGTTTAAACCCCACAGTCAGCCTTAAGTGCTGGAAAAACAGCAATGGGCAAGGCTACTTTCAACTAGGAGAATCATGCAGGGCTTCCTAGAAGAGGTGGCAGTCTAGCTGAGCAGAGGTTGCCAGAGAGGAAGCTGGCCCAAGTGCAGAGGAAGGCAGGCCTGGCGGGCAGAGGCAGACTGACCGGGTCTGCCCTGTCACAGTAGCGTGCCTTTCCCTCAACACCAGCCGAATCCTGAGCAAAAGCAGCCCCTCCAGTCATCCAAGACCTCAGGTAGCCTTTGTGCCAGCGCAGCGGTGCGGTCCAGGCCTGGCACGCGGCAGATCCTCTGTTGTGTGCAGTGGGCTTCACAGAGGCGGCTCTCATGCTCCTGGCAGGCACCCCCCTAATGCTCACATTCCTGGAGGCTCGTGGGTCCCTGAGTGGGGTCCTCTCAACAGAACCCTCCGCTGACCCCGTCGCAGAAGGCCGGGGTGAGTAGGGTGGCGAGGAACACCACAGACCCACAGACTTCCCGGACGCAGACAGAAGGACGAGTGTTCCCTCAGGGCTGGGGTTCTGTTTTCTCTGTTTCTGTTTCCTCCTCAGAGGAAATTCCACTGCGAATTTTATTTTTAGCAGTTTGAAGCATGCGGCCACTAACAGGGGCCGCTTGTGGCACTGGACATACCCCAGGCTTGGCCCAGGGCAGATGCCCCGGTCTTCGTCTGCAACCCCAGCCTGATTCCCTTTTCTGTTTCTTCAAGCCCCCAGCCTTCAGGTGAGGCCACACTTTGGGCAAGGCAAGGACTTCCTGGTGTAGAGGAAGGATCCTGGACATGGACTCCAGGCACCTGACCTCCACCTTGTCTTTGCCCCAACCTTGCATTGCCTCCTGCAAGTCACTGCCTGTCCCTGAGTTTTGGCTCCTCCACTTACACAGGAGAAGCAGAACCAAGCCCCAGCCTCCTCCTCAAGGTACATGAGGTCTGACGGGCGATGCTCACACAGGTGCCGAGAAAGCAGCAAGCCCTCACAAGGTCTAACGATGGGACAGAAGACCTGAAGTCAGCCACCTACTCAAAGTGTGCAAGCCCAGTGAGGCCTTGAGCAAGCCAGTCACCCAGTTTCCCATCTGTGTTAAGGCGAAGGTCATCTCACCCTGCCTGCCTCAAAGGATGACTACAGGGATCCTATGAGAGCATGCAAAAATGCTTTGGTTCTGTATAAATGCAAATACAGTTAGGGATGTTCCTCGCCTCCTCGAGGAAATGCAATGGGGAAATGGTGTTTTATAGAATTCGTTATCAAAAGTTTGAGATGTGAGGATTAAATGAAATGCATGTATATATGACAGCCATCAGAGGGAGAAAAAAGGTCCCAACAGCAGTGCTTAATCCACAGGAATATTACTAATAATAATAACAATGGCTAACATTTATTGAGTATTTCCCTATGCAGAATGATGTTCCCCAAAGATGCCCACATGTTAATAACCCCTATGAATCCGTTGCCTTATGTGGCTATATCAGTCTACGAAGGCTGCTATCACCAAGTACCACAGACTGGAGGCCCCAACAGAAACTTATTTTCTCATAGATCTGGAGGCAAGATGTTCCAGACAGGGTTTGTTTCTTCTGAGGCCTCTCTCCTCGGCCTGGAGATGCCGATGTCATCCCTTTTCCCTATCTTCACATTGTCTTCCCTCTGGACGTCTGTGTCCAAATCTTTTCTTACAGGGACACCAGTCATATCGCTTGGGGCTCACCCTAATGACCTCACTTTAACTCTGACCTCCTTAAAGGCCCTATCGCCAAATGTAGTCGTGTTCTGGGGGGTTAGGTCTTCGACGTAAGAATTGGGCTGGGAGGGGATAACTCAGCCCAAAACAGATGTGATTAAGTTAAGGATCCTGAGATGAGAGGTTTATCCTGGATTATCTAGGGAAGTGGTCAGCAAACTGCGGCTCATGACCCCTTTGGGGGTCGAACGACCCTTTCACAGGGGTCGCCTAAGACCATCGGAAACACATATATAATTACATACTGTTTTTGTGATTAATCACTATGCTTTAATTATATTCAATTTGTAACAATGAAATTGGGGGTCACCACAACATGAGGAACTGTATTAAAGGGTCGCGGCATGAGGAAGGTTGAGAACCACTGTCCTAGGTGGTTCCAGTGTAACCACAAGAGGGAAGCTAGAGGGAGTCAGAGAGAGATGGGACGATACTGCTGGCTTTGAAGAGGGAGGAAGGGGCCATGTGCCAAGAAATGCAGGTGGCTTCTAAATGCTGGGAAAGAAGAAGGAAACAGATTCTCCCCCAGAGCTCCCGAAGGAACACAATCCTGCTGACACCTTGATATTCAGGACTTCTGATCTATAGAGCTGTGTATAAAATTGTGTGTTTTTTAATCTATGAAGTTTGTGGCATTTTATTATAGTAGCAATATGTAAGTGAGACCAGAATTTACATTTGCCATCTCATGTAACCCTCACAATAACTCTTGGCGGGGGAGAGGGGTACTCTTATTATCCCCATTTTGCAGAAGAGAAAGTGAGACGGAGACGTGGAGAGGTGAATAGTCTACCAAGGCCACACTGCTCGTGACCGAGATGTGCTTTGTACCCTGACAGGCTGGCTTCAGAGGCCGCCCCTTTAACTTCAGTAGCACTCTACGGAATAAGTGACTAACCGATGATGGAACTGTAGGCAGACTGGCAGGCCACTGGGGCCTCTGAAGGCCTCTCAGGTCACCCCTGCCCATCCTCTGACAGCCATTGCAGGCTGGTCACAGCCCACACCCATCCACACAACATAACAAGGACGCTCCCTGCATCCACCTGGGCCAGGCTTTCCCCTGCACTACACAACACCTCTTTTGGCTCCGCCGACAAAAGGACAGGTGCCCCTCCACCTGGGTGGTGATTCTGGACTTCCCCTGTTTTATCTCTTCCACCTTTTTGTCCCCCTCCTGTGGCTCTCACTCCCAGCTTAGAATGGCAGAGGATTCAAATCATGGACTTGGAGGGTATTTTAGGGCCTGAGAGGTTCCTCAAGTCCATTCACCATAACCAGGTCCACGCTGAGCATCAGTCCCTCCGTTGTGCCCACGGGTCAGGAAGCTACCTGCTGGGAGAGCTGCGTCATTGTACACTTCCCAGCGCCGGCACCGTCTCCCTGCCAAGGCTGCCCTCTGCCCACGCCCCCAATAAAACATCTGTTTTCTATTCCTTGTTAGGAACATCTTGTGCTTGAACCCTGTGGAAGTGGGGCCAAGGGGGGTGGCCCTTTGCTGGGCTGTGCTTTGTGTTCTAAGCCAACCATACTCATTAAGCCCATGACTCTCGCTTCTTTTACTTTTAAAGAATAATAAGTAATGTGGCTTTGTATTTGCTCCATCCAAAAGACCTCTGTCCTCCTCTGTTTTTTAAATTCAAATTTCCATTTTGCCCCATTAGATTATTCTTTAAAAAACAAAACAAAACAGCAAAGCTCTTTGAAAATCAAGATATTATTTATATGCAATACAATCCACTCAGTTCAAGTGTATGGTTTGATGAATGTCAGTAAATTTATTCAGTTGTGTGACGACTACAGTCAGGATAGCGAATGTTTCTTTTCTGCACCAGAAAAAGCTTCTTCGTGCCCCTGGCTCATCTGTCTCTCCCGCGGCAGCCTCAGGCAGCCATGGGTAGACTTTCTGTCACTGTAGTTTTGCCTCTTCTAGAATCTTATAAGCATGGAATCATAGTTGCTGTCTTTTGTGTTTGACTTCTTTCATTTAGCATAATGTTCTGAGGGTCCTCCTCATTATTGCACGTAGTGTTTTAGTCCCTCTGATTGCTGAGTAGTGTCCTAGAAAAAGAAAAAAAAACCATTGTCCATTCACCAGATGATGGATATTTGGAGTGCTTCCAGTTTGGAGCCATCAGGAATACAGCTGCTATGAGCATTCACATACACACGTAAACATATGTTTCCGTTTCTCTTGGGTAAATTCCTAGGAGTGCAATGAGGCTTGTATGGTAACTCTAAGCATGGTTTATAAGTAAGTTGCTTTGTAAGTATGATTTAATTTTATGAGATACTTCCATAGGTTTTTTGTGTGTGTTTTTTTTTACCCAAAGTGGCTGTACCATTTTGCCTTCCCACTAGCAACGTTCATACGTTCCAGTTCCTCTACATCCTCACAAAGCTTAGTGTTGGTATTCTTTTTGCATCTTGGCCATCTAGTGAGCGGATGACGGTGTTTCATGGTGGTATTTCATTCTAATTTGCATTTCTCTGTTGACTAGTGATGTTGAGCATCTTTTCATAGGCTTGTCATTTATATATCTCCTTATGTAAAGCACCTGTTCAGTATTTTACCCATTTTATTAGGCTGTTTTGTCTTATTATTACTATTTGAAAGAGTTCTTCACGTATTCTGGATACAAGGCCTTTCCAGATATGTGTTTTGGGAAATAATATTTCTCCCAGTTCCCCATGGGCTTACTCTTGATAAGAGATACAGTTGATCCGTGAACAATGCAGGGGTTCAGGGCACCAACCCAGGGCACACACAACAGAAAATCTATGTATAACTTTTGGTTGCCCCAAAACTTAACTGCTACAGCTGTCTCTCAGCATCTTCAGAACATTGATTCCAGGACCACGCCCCCGCAGATACCCAAATCCACGGGTGTTCAAGTCCCCTCTATAAAACGGTGCAGATCGGTGCAAACAGTCAGCCCTCTGCATCCATGGATTCCCAACCGTAGATCAAAAACAGCACTGGTATTTATTGGGGGGAATTCTGTGTATCAATGGACCCACACAGTTCAGGGTTCAATTGTAGTGATATGGTATGGAAAGAGCCTGTGTCTGTGCTACTTCCTAGCCATTCCTCCTTGGGCAAATCCCTTGCCCTCTGTGAGCCTCAGTTTCCTCATCAGTAAAATGGGAACAAAATACCTACCCCGCCTTCCCCACAGCATTGTCAGGGGCCCTGGGGAGAATTGTCACCACAAAAGCATTTTGTAAGCTCCTTGGACCTGTAAGTAGGTTAGCAGTTTGGTCAAGTTGCTGTTGAGTACTGAGACCCTTCTGTGTCCCTGCCCTTAGGCTGCGTATTATCCCAAAGGAGGGCAGTGCAGGGCAGGCACTCCTTGGCCAAGGTGGATTGCCAAGGAGGGATGCGGGTGGCAACTGTGAGGAGCACCCCCATGGGCTTCAGGAGCAGGGAGGTGCTCACTCATGCAGCCGAGTGTCTCCTCTGTGCCAGGCCCTGCCCTCGGCACTAGGAGCACAGCCTCACAGAGCCCCCAGACCAGTGGGTGCAACCGAACAGTGAATGGTGCTTTGCGGATCCTGTCCTGACAGGAGAAGCAGCCCCACTACTTCAGAAGGGGCTCTGAGCCTGTTTTGAATGAGGATCATGAAAGGGGTCAGCCAGGCAGAAGGGCCAGCATGTGCAGAGTCCTGTGGCCCAGCCCAGCATGTGCCCTGTTGAATCTTAGTGCTTTGTAGAGAGCCCAGTGGCCCCACGGGGATGCCTATAACATCAATGACATTGTTATTTCCAGGATCACCCTGAGGTGGCTGCAGATGGAGTTGGGTGCCCCTTTGCAGGTGTTGGCTGCTCCTTCAAGGTAAGCATCTGAGAGAGAAAGGACATCTGTCTACTGCAGCCCTAGGCCACTGGGTCTCCCCGCTTCAGCCCCTCCAGGATTTTCACACAACATCAAGCTACTCCTCTGGATGTCCCTTACATCAATGACCTTCTCAAACAACAAATCCCACTAGTCAATCATTTCTGTACTCAGGAGAGTTCTTAATGTCTTAGCATTGTAAGCATCACTAAAATGACCAATCCCCATCCCCCCATGCCTCTCTCCATGGTCCTGAATCATCACGGCTCTCAAAGACAGGGATAAATCATGGTAGAGGCCTGGGGGCATGGCTCACTGTGAGCATGTCTGACATCACAGTTCTCCAAATCCCTGTCACTGCACACAAAGCAGCTTCCCCTTTGCTGGGTGAATGGATCTGACTTTCTTTGGGAACCTTCTCTGTTTTCGCTGATCAGCCCCACTCTCTTGGCAGGGGAGTGCAAAATTCATGCAGGAGCATGAGGTCACCTCTCAGGCCACCCACCTAAACCTGCTGTTGGAGTTCATGAAACAGTGGAAGGCCCAGCTGGGCTCAGGCCTGGGGTCAGGCCCCATGGCCCTGGAGCGGAATCTGTCAGACCTGCAGCTGCAAGCAGCCGTGGAGGTGACTGGAGACCTGGAGGTGGACTGCTACCGGGCACCCTGCTCTGAGAGCCAGGAGGAGTTGGCCCTGCAGCACTTCATGAAGGAGAAGCTCCTGGCTGACCTGGAGGGGAAGCTGCGCGTGTTTGAGAATATTGTCGCCGTCCTCAACAAGGAGGTAGAGGCCTCTCACCTGGCCCTGGCTGCCTCCATCCACCAGAGCCAGCTGGACCGCGAGCTCATCCTAAGCTTGGAACAGAGGGTGAGCATGGGAAACAAGGTTGCCTTCAAGGCTGGCTCAGGGGTTCCCTGCCCCATCTTATGTCCAGAACAGTGAATCAGCTTTCCTCCTAACTTTCTTCTCCCTGCTCACAGCAGTCACTTACCCATCAAAAAGTATCTCTCCTGTGTCTCAAAGCCTCTAGGTGGAGCACTTAGAAGTTATAGTAGAGATCAATCCCATCATCCAATGGTTCATTTCCTCTGCTTGAATTTCTCTCATGGTAGGATACTCCCTTTCTAAGCTATTCATTCCATTGCTATTAGAAAGTTCTTCCTTAAACTAAATTGAAATCAGCTTCTTTGTGTCTTCCCTGCATTGTTTCTGGCCCTGCCCCTTAGGATGCACAAAACAAATCTGCCTTCCAGACTCTATGGCAGCCCTTCAGAGACTAGCAGTCAGTGATTATGTCCTACCTGAGTGCTTCCTTCTTTAGTCTAAACGCCCAGGGCCTTCACTCCTTCATCACAGCACGTTGTTTCATGCTGTTCTCAGATGCTCTGGCTCAGCCTCTGAAGGATTCCACACAGTCAGAATGGTGGTCCCCGACCATTCCAGATAATCCACTTCTCTGACAGTTCTTGGTTTAGCAGGACTGTCGTCCCCTCCTTTGTTCCAGAGCTTATACTTTTCCTAATATAACAAGTTTGTGTGGGGTTTTTTTGCAACTTGACATCACAATCTCATGTTGATGTAGGCCTGGATTTTAGTTCCAGCTCCACCATGAACTTTCTGTGTAGGTCTGAGCAAGTCACTCTCCCTCTTAGGAAACTTCAACAGTCTCATCCATAAAATTAGGAATTCAATTTAAGAACACCCACTTCCACTCCTCACTTCCCTTCGTGAGCACAACCGGGAATAAATTTGTATTCTTTCAACTGTGAATAGGGAACCAACCAGAAGAGCCAAGCACTGGATTTGAGTGACCGAGTAAAGCTTTTATTTCTGTAACTCTTGCCCCAGTTAGAAGGTGGGCTCCCTGAGGGCAGCAACTGCATCTTCAGTTCATCAACAGACTTTCTGGCTCTACTCTTAGATGTAAGGCAGGCACAGAGAGAAAAAGTGAGCATGGGCCCAGCCCTTGGTAGGGAAGAAAGACATCTGTCTGGTAGGAAAGATAGAAAAATGAATCTCATAAAACTGCTGAGGATTCCGTAAGAACATAGATGAGAGAGAGAGAGACCAGCTGAGCGAGGGCAGTGGTTGACTGCTTCCCAGAGGAAGGGCTATGTGAGGTCATGAGCGGAAGACTAAGTGATGCTTCCCCACAGGTGGCGGATTTGCATCAGACACTGGCCCAGAAAGACCAGGCCCTGGGCAAGCTGGAGCAGAGCCTGCGCCTCATGGAGGAGGCCTCCTTCGATGGCACCTTCCTGTGGAAGATCACCAACGTCACCCGGCGGTGCCACGAGTCGGCCTGCGGCAGGACCGTCAGCCTCTTCTCTCCAGGTAACACCTCCCCAGGGGCACAGAGGCCCACTGGGCTCAGAAACCAGCATGGGGAGCAGCCAACTCTGACTCTCTCCAGTTAGACCGGGTCCCTTCAGGCCACCTACCGTGCTGGGACCACGGAGGAGGTCGTGCCTGGCTCGGCCACATAAAACGGGCTATTTGAACTGCCATGCCTTCCACCTCCCCAAGTGCCAGTCACACTCTGCAGACAGGAGTAAAATTGTTACTGACTTCGAGTGGATGTCAGGTGTGAAAGACAGTGTGCCGTGAACCAAAGCTTGTGCAAATGAGAGGACAGTTCGCACAGGCGAATACCGTGGGACCCCCGCCCTCAGAGAGCCAGGGTCTGAAGGAGCCAGCGTGGAGGACTAAGGGTGTGATTGTGGGTCGCGTGTTAGGAAGTATTGTGTAAACCGGGGCAGTGCTTACTCATTTCTGGGGCCCCGGAGCTCGGCACAGTGTCTTGTATAAAGCGGTTACTTGGCAGATGTTTCCCTTACTCAGCTGGTTTCTGTTTTTAACGCATGTGTGTATTTTCACATAGAATGCTCAGACCTATGTGCTCTTCCCCTCTCCTCACTCACACGTGTCTACACAGACGAGGTGGGGGGTCATTAAGGAAGATTTCTGCAGGTGACGACTTGAACGACTTCTCACCTTGGCCCCAGCTTCATCCCTTTCCTGTCCGTCTGCTCCTCTGATGCACCAAGACCTACAGGGCTGGGATGGAGAGAGGCATTGGAGGCTGCTCCGCACCCCAGAGCAGGGCAGGGTCCCAAAGCCAGGCCCGTGTCCTCAGGAGCAGCGGCAGCCCCCTTCACGGGGGCCTCACCTCCAACACGAGGCTTTTTCTCCTCTCCTTTCCAAAGAGGGACAAAGCAAGCGGTGTCTCTGGCTTCCTGTTTCACCAGAACGTAAGGGGCAGGATGAGTCAGACTGTCGGTCTGTCCCTCCTCCGCCCCTTCCTGCTTGCCCCCCCACTCCCTGTCCCCAATCAACCCCTCCCAGAGGGGCCCTTGTGGTGACAGCCACGAGAAGCCGTACTGGGTGGTCCTTTCAGCTGCAGAGAGTCCAGAGGCCCCTGTGCTGAGGCACCAGGGGTGACGTTACCAAGGGTGCCTGGCAGACTGAGAGCCCACTCTTCCTCCCCTCCAGGAGCCCCGCCACTTGGCCTGGGGCAGCAGAAAGAAGTCTGTGTTAGGATACAGGAGGCCTGGCCCCTAATCCTGGCTCTGCCCCCAGTGTCTGCGAGGCCAGACACTTCCCCTCGCTGGGTTCAGTTTCCCGACTGCAAAATGCAGGTCGGTTAAACCCGAAGTGTGGTCCTGGGCAACAGCATCACTGTCCCCTGCTGGACATGCCGGTTCTCAGTCCTCACCCAGCACTACTGAGTCCAAAACTCCGGGGTGGGGCCTAGCAACCTGTTGACTGCCACTAGGCTAGATGAGCGCCAAGATCTGGGTCCTCTTGGACTGTATGTAATCGAGAAGATGCAGGGCTCCAACCCCAGGTTTCTTAGTTTTGAACCCCTGACCATGGGCATGCCTAACCACTGGTCCCAGTTTCCTCATTTGCCAAGCTAGCATTCTCCAGCTGCCTCTGTGCTGACTCTGGCTTCCACATTGCAGCTTTCTACACTGCCAAGTACGGCTACAAGTTGTGCCTGAGGCTCTACTTGAATGGCGACGGGACGGGAAAGAGGACCCACCTGTCGCTCTTCATCGTGATCATGAAAGGGGAGTACGATGCTCTGCTGCCGTGGCCTTTCCGGAACAAGGTACGGACTAAGGGGAACATTGGGGGGAGGGGGGAGGGCGCACGTTGCAGGGGTGAGTGGAGCCTGAGTCCTGGTCCCGGTCCTGGTTTAGCCATGAACTGGCCGGTGACCTGGGCAAGTCCCTTGCCCTCTCTATGTTATCAGCTTCCCTTTTCATAAAACAAAAGCCTGAGTTCACATCTAGTAGCCAAGGCTTCCTCCAGCATCATGAGTCCAGGAGCAAAAATGCCTGGACCAACATCCTGGGAGGCATGTAGAAATGAAATTCACCTGGTGGGGTGAGTAAGGAAACTTCCCGGAGGAGGTGCTGTGGGCCAGCCTGAACTGGCAGCATTTTCAGAAAAGGGGAGGGAGGCAGATGCCACCGCACACCTGTCAGAATAGCCAAAATCCAAAACACTGGCAACACCAAGTGCTGGCGAGGATGTGGAGAACAGGAACTCTCATTCATTGCTGGTGGGGATGCAAAATGGTACAGCTGCTTTAGAAGACAGTCGGACAGTTTCTTACAAAACCAAACATAATCTTACTATCCGATCTGGCAATCACGCTCCTTGGTATTAACCTAAAGAAGCTGAAAACTTATGCTCACATAAAAACCTACACATAGATTTTATAGCCGCTTTATTCATAACTGCCAAACTTGGAAGTCACCAAGATGTCCTTCAGTAGGTACAGGATAAACAAACCATGGCACCTTCAGACAATGGACTGTTACTCGGCACCAAAAGCAATGAGCTATCAGGCTTGGCCATGGAGGAACCTTAAATGCATACTGCTGAGTGAAATAAGCCAATCTGAAAAGGCTACATACTGTATGCTTCCACCTATAGGACATCGTGGAGGAGACAAAACTATGGAGACAGTAAAAAGATGAATGGTTGTCAGAGGATGGGGGGGCGGGGGTGGAGGGATGAATAGGCAGAGCACAGAGGATTTTTAGGGCAGTGAAACTACTCTGTATGATACTGTAATGAGAACATGTTATACATTTGTCCAAACTCATAGAATGTATAACACCAAGAGTGAACCCTGAGGTAAACTATGGATTTTGGGTGATAAGAATGTGTCAATGTGTCAACTGATTGTAACACATGTCCCACTATAATATGGGTATTGATAGTGTGGGAGATTGGATGGGGGCAGGAGGTATATGGGAAATCTCTGTATTTTCCATTCAGTTTTGCTATGCAATTAAAGCTGCTCTTAAAAAATAAAGTCTATTAAAAATGTTTAAAAGGGCAGGAGTGCCATGCTGGTCTGAATATGAGTCAGCAGGTCAGTGGCTCCCACATCTGCCGGGAGATTTAAAAAATAACAGCGACTGGGTCTCACTACAGTAAATGGCGAGGCCTGAGTATCAGGATGTTAAAAACCTTCCCAGGGGATTCTAGGTGCAGCCAAGTTTGAGAACCGCTGAGGTGGATGATGGAAGACATCCTATGTACTGATGGGCATTCCAGTGCCATGTGCCAGGGAAGAGGGTTGTGTCACTGAGATCATCAGCCTCTTGGAGTACACATATCTGCCCCTTACAGACAGAAGCTCAGTTCACATTTCTGGGCATTGACTGACAGCCCCTGGGTAGATGGCCTGTCTGTTCTCCCCACCCCTGCCTTGCCCAGGAGGTTCCGGCCTAGTTGACCATCACACATCTCTGAGCGGGAAGGGATATTACAGGTTATGAGTCCCACCTCCTTTTCAGGGCTCAGTCCCACTATAGCCCCAACAGCCAACCAAATTGACTATGGCATCTGAACTACCTCTTCCAGTTGGATAGACCATCAGATCCCTAATTATAGGACAACCCCCAAAGGCTGCCCAGATTACCAGGTGCTTCCATTCCTGGGGGCCCCTAACCAGCCTGAGTTCAGGGTCCGAGGGGCTGCACAGGTAGCAGACACACACCAGCCCTGAGCCCCTGGGTGCACTCCCCAGGGCCTGACCTCCCACCTGCCCTGGCCCACAGGTCACCTTCATGCTCCTGGACCAGAACAACCGTGAGCACGCCATTGACGCCTTCCGGCCCGACCTGAGCTCAGTGTCCTTCCAGCGGCCCCAGAGTGAAACCAACGTGGCCAGCGGCTGCCCGCTCTTCTTCCCTCTCAGCAGGCTGCAGTCGCCCAAGCACGCCTACGTGAAGGACGACACCATGTTCCTCAAGTGCATCGTGGAGACAAGTGCTTAGGCAGCAGGGACGAGAAGCCGCACCTGCGCCCTGAGGGAGCACCAACCCAGACTCGGGGAGGTGCCACGATCCCGAGGCACAGGGATAGGCTGGGGCTGGCATGACCTGAGCAGGGCTGACAGATTGACTATGGCGGCCACCAGCTTCGGGTGGCAGGACCTTGGGATGGGCCCCCAAAGGCAGAGGGTTCAGAAGGAGGTGGTGGCAGAATTGTTGCCTCTGCACTGAACACACAACCCTGGAGGCCTGGCCGCCACTCCAGCCCTGAATATTGAGGTGGACTCTGACCAGGATGGGGAGGGCATGGGGTCAGGCCTGGGACATGAATGGCCATCTGGAGATAAAGGACCTGGGCCTGGGAAGGTCCCTGCAGGGCCACCAGGGAGAACTGGAAACATGCTTGCTGTCTTCCTACCTGGGGTCGGAAACAAGGGGTGGAAGGGACGGACAGGTTGCCAGTGTGAATTCAGTCTGTCAGGCATGCACTGCGTTCCCCATCACTGGGGGTGAACATGCAACCTCTCTAATCAGATTTCCCTCAGCTTCGGGTCCACGACTGGTTCTGTGGGGACCACAGAACAGTATCGGGTCATAGCTGACCCATAAAAATTGATTTGATGATGACTGAGCACCAACCCTGTGTGAGATTTTCCTTACTGAAGCCACAGCGTTGTCCTTGTTTGCAGGTGAGGTGGCTGAGGCTCGGAATGACTCCAGTGGTCTGCAGATGGCCAGCGTCCGTATCACCCTGAAAGCCTGCTAAAACACAGGGTGCCACTCCCACTCCACCCCCAGTTTTTTGACTCAGTAGTTCTGGGGTGGGGCCCAGAATTTGCACCCATCCCACATTCCCAGTTGGTACTGATGCTGTCGGTGGGGACCACGCTTTGGGAATCTCTGCCCTACACAATGGGGCCCTCTCTGAATAAATTTTCTGCCCTTAGGCCAACCATAAAATCAGCATCACCCACTTTCCACAGCAAGAATTTGTGATGCATCGCCTTCCCTGTACAGGTATTAGAGGGTTCCATTCCTGACTGTCACACGTGTGTCCCACCCTCAGAGAACTGCCCCCAGACATGACCTTCAGCCCTCCGAGGGCACCTCCTGAATGCCCCAGATGCAAACTTCCTGGAGCATGAGTGCACCCATCAGTGAGGGTGTGACCACTCAGCATGAGTTTGCTTCCTTAAGTGATCCCAGGCAGGGTTAGGGAAGGTGCTGAAAAGCTTGGAGGAAACTGCCAGAGGCTCCCAGCACAGGGAGGTACAGGGTGAGAGCTGGAGAGCTGAGGCTAGGGAAGCAGGACAGGGCCTTCAGCACCTGTGCATGCTGGGAAGAGTGTGAAGGGGCAGCTGCAGACTCCTGGACTCGGACAAGAAGCTCCTGCAGTCAGCATTGCAACCAAGGGTGACCTGACCTGCGCGTGGTAAGCAGACCTGGGAGTGAGTGAGGTGCACGTCTGTTTTATTCCCCCGGTGGGTACACGTGACTTATTTGTCAGACTCTAGCGGACCTGAGCCGAGTGAGAGAATCCTTATTAAAATTAGGCTGTTAAATAATGACATCATATATGAGAGTGTTGTTAGTAAGCGTCACAGCTGCCATTTATTGAGTGCCTGTTATGTACCAGACACTTTATATCCATAACCTCATTGAATCCTCCCAAAACTCTGGTAAGGTAGGTGCCAAGAAGATCCCCATTTTGCAGATGAGGAAACTGACGCTAAGAGAGCTTCGATTGGCGAAGGCCCTGGTCGCTAGGAAATGAAGGGCTATTGTCTCCCCATCGCTAAACTGTCACTTTCCACTCCATCCTCTGCCCCACATTTCCTGAACACCTGCTCTGTGCAGGCCCTGAGGGGGACCGCAAGATGAATCATTCAAGTAGTTAGTCATTCAACAAACTCTTTTTGAGCACTTGCTATTTTGTATGAGCTTATTTATAGCCTGCCTTATTTCAGAAAGCAATTAACTTTACTTGATATACAAGAGAATTAATATGTGAAAATGTGGTCATGAGATGGTGACAGATGGAAAATAGAGGTTGGAAAGATCAGAAGAAGCCAGGAATGAAATAGGTACAAGAGTACAGACCGTGAGGTCCTACATGTGACGGAGCCAGATTGTCCTCTGAGCTTTCCAGCAGGCAAAGCCCAATCCCATGCGGTTCAGGGTCCATAAGACACTAACAAACTTGTTGCTGAGGCGAAACATGACTCTCGTAGGCCCTGAGACCAGGGGCCTTCCCTGGGGAGCTGGCACCGGAGCTGGCACCGTGGAGCCTGAGGAGCAGTGTCCCAAACAGCATGCTCCGTGCACGTACAGCACGAGCCTCGGGCAGTTTCCTGTGCTCCCCTCCGCGTGGCTCACGTCCCAAAGCAGAGAAGCCGCTCAGAAGAGAGAGTGACCCGCAGGGCAGGTGCGCCGCTCTCCAGCTTCTCCATGCGCGGGGTTTACAGGGAGCACACGTAGCGAACTGGCAGTCCACTAGCTAAACGCAGTCCTCAGGCAAGCTCTGTGTGACCTGAAAAGTGTATTTAAATAGTTTGAATTAGTTGTCAACCTTAAACAGATTTCACGTAAAAAATCCAGATTTGGGTGGTGTGTGTTTTTAAAAACGGATTTGACAACATGAGGCCCCAAGAACAAGAACTGGCCAGAGCAGAGTCCTTTTCCAGTCAGTCCCCCATGGTTCCCCAAAGCCCTTTTTGCTGTTAACTTCCCTGCCTGGCTTTGCAAGTCATTGGGAGCTTTCGGGCCGGCCCCGTTTTGGGGAGATTTTGAGGTGAGGTACAGCATGGTGCATCAGAAGCCCTCAGTAGCTTGTTTATTGTGCGGAGTCCCAGGCCCTGCTCCTTGGGTTTTGGGATCAGACAGGCATCTCTGTAACAGGTGATCTCTCCCAATGGACCCTGGAAGGCTAGGTGGGCCCTGGAGGGCTGGGTGGGCACGGCTGATCCAGCTACATGGATGAATAGGGTTTCTTTCAACACAACTTTTGGCAAGTACAGTGGGTTGTGAGTTCAAAGCCACGCTCCCCAACAGGGGCCTGGAGGGCAGTTCTTGTGAGTTGCTGGGGAAATCCCGAGTCACGTGCTATAAATGACGGTGTTGCTCGACATTAGACCCACCTGGGGAACTTTTCAACCCATGCTCCCCAACCCCATGCCCAGGCCACCTCCCAGACCAATTAAATCAAGTTCCCTGCAGATGAGAACACAGGCATCAGCATTTTAAAGCTCCTCAGGTGACCCAAGGGTTCTGCCAGGTGTGAAGAGCAGGGCTGAAAAGGGAGCCCCTTCTCTGAACCAGAGCTCCCTGGAGGGGGGAGAGGCTGGAGGCAGTGAGTAAGTGGGCTGTGAGGTGCATGAGTGCTCTGGGGAGCCGAAGCAGGGGCACCTACTCAGTCTGGGGGATTCAAACTCTCCACCCCACCCCACCCCCTCCATCCTCCGGAGGAGAGGCCTGGGCTGGGTCTGGGGAATAAATACCATGCAGCCACATAAAGAAGGAAATCCAGCCAGTCCAAGGCTCGGAGGCCCCCATGGAGGAAAGAGGTGGAGCCGAAGGTTCTGGCATGGCTCTATCAAGGATGGAATTGGGGAGTATGAGAAGAGGCCACAGAGAAGGGAGGGGGCTAAATCACAAAGGCTTTGCATGCCAAGCTAACAAAATTGAATTTGGGCTGGGGTTATCAAGGAGGACTTCTTGGAGGAGGTCAGACTTGAGGTAGGGGAAAGGTAGGACTTGGAAAGCTGACAGAGAGGGGGAGGTGTGGCTATTGTGATTAGCTGCTGAAGTTAAAACTCTCAAAAACCCTTCCCTCCCCCATGTCCTTAGAAGCGGCTGAATCACAAACTGCCTGGTTGAAGATGTGTTTGTCTGTTATTTGAAAGCTGCGGTTTCTCTTTAACAGATTCTGGGCCCCATCCTTTGACTAGGAACCAGGAAGGAAGGAAAAACGCATTCTCTTGCCCAGAGAGCTAATTATTGAAGTGCTGTGGGCCTCACCAGGGTGTATGGCGTCACCCGCTCTGTCCTCCAACAGCTCCAAACTTCTGACTGGTTGAAGTTTTCGGTACATTTTTATAGGCTTCCCCAAAGCCAACTGGAAGCTTTCTTTCCATAAACGCTCCCTGAGACAAGTAGCCAGGTTTCACATATTAAAATGTAAACGTCAAAAGGGTTGTTAAAAAAAAAAAAAAAAAAGATGCAGGCTCATTTATGAGGTCTCACTCAGCTCACGAAACCCACATCAGAGTTCAACAGCATTTGTCTTTTTTTTTCTGCAAAGCTGATGGTCAAATTATAAGGCTAAAGATCATCACTGATCACTTATTTATCCATTCACCCAACGAACACGTACTGGGCATTTCCTGGGGACCAGGCCTTAAGCTGACTGCATCTAAGCTCAAAATACTTCACAGTTTACAAAGCTGTCATTGCGATTTTGTGAGCTGTATGTAGTTTTATCCCCATTTTTCAGAGTAGGAAGTCAAGGCTCTTGCCCCAGAGTCACGATGCTAATTAGAGGTAGACCTTGACCTTGGGTCACCCCTGTTCGAACCCTCAGTTCTATCCGCTCTACCTTGCTCCTTTGTAAGCAATACCATCTAACTGTTATTGGCTTAGGTCAATAGCTCCAAGGATTCAGGTTTAGCTGTAATCAGTTACTTGCAATCAATTACTTGTAATCAATCTGTTTAGTATTTACCCCCACCTTTGAACCCTGGTTTCCCTCTTGGGGGAAATTCCCCTTTGTGAAGGAGAGAAACACTAGCATCCACTTCCCATGGCCACCATCACTACAAAAACCTAGTGAAGCAAAATTCTTTCCCAGCATCTCCTCCTGCCTAGACAGTGGACAAGCACATATGAAACATAATGTCTACCGATCAGCTACTCGTTCCCAGGGCTGCCACTTGAGTGAGTGGTGAGGGGACCCTGGCAGGTCAAAGTCAGGCTCAGTAGAGGGGCCTGGATCAAACTGTACCTGCAGCATGCCCTCGGCTGGGGTTCCTGTACTCTCTTGGCTCTGTCCTTTGTTCAAGCCTGTTCTCCAGCCTCGTGTCATTTCTGTGAGCCCTCACTACTTTCCAGTAAGTCCCTTCTTGCTTAAGATGACCAGAGATGGCCATGGTTACTGGTAACCAAGAATCCTGACTGATACAAGGTCATAGGTTCCCATCCTGTTTACATAGCCAGCAGGAAGTAGCCGCCTCCGTGGTGCTGTGGGCATTGATCCAGATTTTTACCAGGAAAACCATGTCTGAGGGCTGTGAAAATGTTGGCACAGTCTCTCTGGCCAAGGCCCAGGAATGATGAGAGCAGACAGGCACAGTTGTCCAGGCTGCTGCCCGCGTCCTGAACAACCAGGCGGATCTGTTCCTGGCTCACCGCTGGGGTCCAGCCTTCAAGCCACCATCAACTTCGCTCTTCTGCAATTCCACTCCCATCTGGGTCCTCCTGGCCCCTTTAGGGTCCTGAGTGTGGAGAAGCAGGAAAACCCAGGAGTACGCTCTGCAGAGGAGGGACAAGCTGGGGTGCACAGGCAGAGGGGCAGGAGGGCAAGGAATACGGGGGCCTGCATGCATATGTGTCAGTGGGTGCTCAGGAGATGGGCTATGAGAGACCTGCCCAGTGATCTGATCTCAGGGACTATGACAGATGGGTCATCAGTCAGGGTTTTCCAGAAACAGAACTCATTGGCTATAGATATATTTGAAGATGTCTTTATTTTAGTCGTAAGAAGCTGGCTCACATGACTGTGGGTCTGCCAAGTCTGAGGTCTGTCGTGCTGGCTGACAAAACGGGCTGAGTTAATCCTGCATCTTGAGGAGGCGTTTCTTCTTCGTTGGGAAACCTCAGCTTTTGCTCCTAAAACCTCCTCCTGATTGGGCGAGGCCCCCACACTATGGAGGGTAATCTTCACTTAAATCAACTGGCTGTAGACGTTTACCACACCACACAATCCCTCACAGCCACACCTAGATTAGTGTCTGATTAAACAACTGGGTGCTAGAGCCCAGCCAAGTTGACACAAAATTAACCATCACAGAAGGGTCCTCCCCATACTGTCCCATGATTGGTGGTGTGTGTGGGGAGGGGTTGGGAGTGGAGTGGGAAACGCACAAGCTGACATTGGATCATCTCCAGGCTGCAGAAGAGGACATGGTTCCTCATTCACACCAGGAGGTCGGGAGGGGGGCGGGCGGGGGGAGGAGGGGAGGGGGTTGCAGAATGTCAGGCTGACCCTGGAGGGTTGTGAATAGGTTATTCACTACTTGAGCCTGGGCTCCTTGCTCTCCCTGTGACCTGCACAGACTGAGCCCCTTGCTGCAGAGACCTGTGCTGTCTCTCCCCTTTCACAGGGCTCCCCCCCCCCCCCCCCCGCCCGCTGCCTTAACATCTCTCCGTTTTAGCTGAAGATCCATGCATACTCTGCCTGCTGTCCCCACTGACCCTACATACATCCCGGGGCCTCCTTCCTGAATGCCAGCTGCTCCGGATTCCCTCCCCTTCTCTCCTAGCTGCCTGGACACACCGCCACCACACACACCCTGGGCC